ATTTTAATTTAGGAGACACTTTTAATTAATAAATTATTAGTTCGCTATATGGTCGTCTACTTTGCTATTTGGCAACAAGGCAAAAAAAACCTGGTTAGTTTTCTTAGCTTGATGAACAGGATCAATGGGAATACGAAATTCACCATCGAGTTAGAAAGAAATGTGGTTTACCTTTTCTTGATGTCCTAGTTAGCAAAGAGGGGACCAGATTAGGTAGAGATGTGTATAGGAAACCCACAAATGAATGTTTCCTAAATTTCTTCTCCAGCCACACTTATTTGGTTATAAAGTGTATGATAAAAAGGATGTAATCTGCCTGCGTCTGGCAGATGATAAACATCGGGAAAAAGAACTGAGGAGAATCAGGCGAATTCTGGTTTGAAATAAGTATCAAGGAGTGCTGGTTTACAACTATTTTAAAATGTTGCCAAATAGAATGAAGGGAAATACATATTTGGGGCTAGATAAAAAGATAGATCACTCTGACCCGCTCTCCAGATCGGACTGTTACACGATTTTGTGTTCATATGATAGTGCCTATGTGGGAGAGACCTGTAGACCTATACATAAGAGGTTATCCGAACACAAAACAGCCTGTAAGGTTGTGGGTCCAAAAATCGGAATTGGCCGAACATATGGCTTGGACAGGATACCAGATGGATTAGTCTAATGCCAAACGCATAGCTGGATATGGAGCGAAAGATTAGGTAGGCGATAGGAATCAACAAAACAGCCAACATACATACATCCTGAATAGAAGAAATTAGTGTAGGAAGTTAAGCGGAATCTACTTGTAGCTGTTGGATAGGTTCAAAAAGAGAGAAGGGGAAAAACGAGAAGTACCATCGAGCAACAAGAGGCTTGATTAGGATGAAATTTGATTTTGACTCTCGCATCACACTCATTTCAAGAGCAATGCACTCACACAACATGTGTGCAATGGGACGCAATCACATATGGTAACAATACAGGATCAAAGACTAAGTATTTTAGGGGAGGATGACGCCATTCGGTTTCAATTGCATTCATTTCACACTCATCTGTAGCCACTTCACATGTCATCTACAGCCACTTAACTTAACTTATAAGCAAATATAAAGGCAAAGCATAGGATATCCTACCAAAACATGAGATGCCTAATAGGACCAAATTGGAATATATGAAGCAAGGATGCTCAAAGCCTGCCACCTTTCTTGCCTTCGTGTTTTTGGTGAATTATCGTTAACCATGGTGCCCTGCTCTGACGATGTCCGCACGACGGACGAAAGCTCAGCAAGGATTCATCGGGATCGCAGGGAGGTGCGCCGAGTACCTGTTCACACAAACCTACAACAACAGCTCTAGGGCAAACCACCCACCGCCCCCGGTGGAACCAACTTACGAATCTCATCCACTCGCCTCTTAAAATAAAATGAAGGGAACTCCAACAGCAATCTATTGAGAGATTCTTCCAACCCCAGTTTTTCTACATAACAAGGAAATTGCCTTCACTCTGTACAAACATAAAAGTATTTAGTGTTGATTCGACTTTATTTTCGCAACTTGGTCGGAGCGTCAGGAAGGTCTTGTGGAACGTACCTAGTACTGTGTCCTCTGACATATTATTCGTGATTCCCAGCTTCGGACCATTGACTTGGTTCATTTCCAAACGTTTCGCCGGCAACGTTAGTGATAAGCGCCATTCTAAGCAAACAGCTACAACTTATCATTGACAGGTGAAGGCAATCCCCTTGACCAATTTTTTGTGCAACCCTTACCATTTGGATAGCAGTCATGCCTTATGAGATGTATTCACCCTATTTCGTCTAAGGTGATGAAGGACTGGTAGTAGAATTTTCCTACAATGAT